ATGTAATCTTTAACACTAATATTTTCGGTCGAAGCCCCGGACGGACGTAATGCAGTGATTTGATTTACACGATCACCAGGAATAACTCGAAGCTCAGAGGTCACGATGGATGATGGGTTTAACGCGCGAGAAATTAGACTATGTTCTGATTTGTCCATTGCCGGTGAATTGCGGAATGTGTGACTAGAATCTCCGGTTCGCAGCAATTTATTATCGGACGGTGTTCCAGTCTTTCCGCGTTCGTGTCCAATTAGTCTTAACTGTGTGTCGCTTATTGGCCATAGTCTTAAGCATTGATCTTTTGACCAAGTGACCAACTGAAATTCACTATTGTCTAAAATTAAGTTTATAAAGAAAAAAAAGTTGGACTAGATTAAAATTTCATCCGCCGTGTTATTAAAAAATTTGATATGATTGATGGTTGTGACACTTGCCAACATTCTGGTCGCCTCCTCCTTTAATTCGCCAAACAAATTCTTTAACAACATCGTTGTGACCCACAAATGAATCTACCGGAGATTGCGGATTTTCCTGATTCCAGAGGTATAGTTTGTTCTCAGAACGTTGAGGCATAGTTACGATACCCGTGCCGACTGGCTAAAGTAAAAAGTACGTGTCAGGAGATGTCAAAATGTGACGACAAATTTATCAATACACACCGTGTGCCTTGCGCGCCATACGGGTGAGTCTGTACAAATTTCACCCTGGCATACATCAGGCTGGTCTATATTCCAAAACTGTATTCAATAAAATAATCTTGCATTATTTTTTGAATTTAAGAAAATGAAACGCCGTGGTGCATAGATAATATGATATTTGATAAAGCTAACCTTGACCAACTTGTCTAAACTACAGGAGATGATATTTTTTCCGTTCCGTCTATTCCAGTCGATACCATACACTTTAGTTACATGTGCGGTGATTTTAGATACGTAATCGGATCCTTGCTATAATTTTTGCATATATTAATACGAATTTCAGAATAAGGATTACTGTATATGATCATTTACCCGAATATCCCATATCATGATGTTTCTATCATGCGCGGAGGCCAAGATGTATTCGTTATTAAAGTTGAATTTTACTTGTGTTGCACCGACTTAGTGAAAGAATAATATTTAACCCAATTGATGACAGAATATTTTTCAAATAAGATTCGGAAGCTTACATTTCCAGGCACAAAATGAACGGGACGGTCTCTTTGGATTTCTCAGATCCCAAAGGTGAATGTAGGTATCCACAGAGCAAGTCGCAATTGTGTCTGGATGAAACGGATGCCAATTTATATCGCTAATGGTACGAGTGTGACCGTAGAGGATATGTTGAACAGAGGTTTTCGAGTCCACCGTCAGGTTCCATATGAGTCCTTTTTGACTAGACTGTAATGTTTGCATCGATTAATAATGGTTGCACCGATAAAGAAAGAAGCAAAAAATAAAAATAAAAATAAAAATAATAAATAATAAAAAAATAATAATAGTGATAATAATAAAATAGAATGGAATAGAATAAAATCGATCATTCTTATTAAATAATTACCGTTGATGCCACCCATTCATCACGAAACGCGTGCGGGTTCCATTGCACGTCGGCCACGTCCCACTTTGTTAGATGGTAAAGTGGACGCGGAGGTTCATTCTGGTTTTCAAGATCGATGATGAAAATTCCATTTCGTCTATACATTGCGAAAATGTAGCAGAAAATCAAACCAATGGTAAAATTTAATTGTGAAATCATTACGTGTTATATCCTTAAATACATACGCCGCCAATACTACATCGCGACTTGATGGCGAAATGGACATACTACCTCCAGTTTGCTTGACGGGAATAGTTATTCTCTGATAAAAGGTGGTTTTACCTTGAGAAGAGTCTTCAGAATGAACAACATCGGAAGGGGGAATTTTAGGGGGAATGGTGTAACTAGCGGTTCGCATTCCTCCGTTTAGATTTGGAGATGCCGGAGAATGTGAGGGGGATGGTTGAAAGAGATTTGACTGAGAAACATTAATTCTTTCTATACTATCATTCATTTTTCTTCTTCTGGTCTGTCGGAATCAAGAATTGGAATAAAAAAAATATAATAAAGGATTTTCAGCAACCTCAAATGGTAATACGATACGATTCGATTATCTTCTTTGGACAAAACGGAATGAAATGAAAGCAATGCACAGTGTGGCATCAAAGATTTGAAGTAGTAGAATTTTTATTAATTTTCATTTATGCCGAAGAGCATTTTGAACTGGAAAAAGATGTTCGGAATGAATTTTATATTCCGTCTAAAAATTATTACAGCGTGGAGCAAAAAGCTTAATATTCTAGGGACCAAAGAAAATGTCGCGTAATTATCGTATACCATTCATGAAAACGTAAGATGAATAAATGAATCATCTTATATATACTTTTTTTCCTGCAAAAGTTCACATGACCAGACATCACTTGAGCTTAAAAAGGGTGGCACAAGGAAATTGTGCACACTCATCGGGTTGTGCAGAAAATAAATTTCACGCACTTTTATATTTGCTTGAAATATAAATATATATATATACGTACAGTATATATATTTTTTTGGATGATTTCTATAATAAATATTTATCGCTTTAAAAAAAAAGAATGGATAGTTGGAATGAAGTGCTTACAGCATGTGATCCAAATATAAATGTCGTTCAGTCGATATCGGCCATTGCGTTTGATCCTTATCAAGAGCTGTTGTGGACTGGAAATGATAAAGTAAAATTCAAAGATTTTTTTAATATAACCTAAAGGTGTCTTGTCTAGTGAGAGACATGTTGTCGGACGTTAAAGCAAACTTCTTAATGTTTGATAAAAGGGTCGAGTCGCCTCTTATTTCGGTGAAAGTTTGCAGCGATATACGAGTTTCCGATCACATTTAACTCCTGTCGAGCAATTATTAGTTAGTGATAAAGGAGTGATATCTTTGAGTTCCGACTCGGTAAAGATGACCAATCGCCGAGGTTTGGTTAAATGGGTAATAAGGTGTGTTGAATCTTATATTGACCTTCCGAAATTTCCGAGTCAGCCCGTTTTTTTCGATTCATCGTTGTATCATTCTTCTGAGTTGTGAGTGAATCGATTACTTCATCCATCTCGCAAATAGCAATGAGGACACTACCAATTTACATTGCATGACGTATACGACGATGCCCAATTCAGAAATTTTGGCAGCCGGAAGACAACAGAACATGCTCGTCATTAACGTTGCTCGAGGCACCGTTGTAAAAAAGGTATTTGCATATTACTTCGACTCAAGGGACATGATGATTTATGTATCTTTCACCACATTCGTGTGAAAAAGGTCGAGTCAGAGAGCGAGATTGTGGTGATGCGAAAGTCAAGATTAGTGTGCTGTGGTTCGACCTCGGGTGAAGTAACCCTCAGGGATCCGCGAACACTTAAAGTGGAACATCGAATTCAAGCACATACAGGAACCATCTCCGATATAGACACCATGGGAAATTTACTATTGACATGTGGTTTTTCAGCGAGGCTAGTGCATTCTTAAGGATCTATTCTCGCTAGTTATCTCTTTCACATCTTCCGTCGGTATTAACCCAAATTCGTTTCACGAAATGTACATTTCCTTATTTAAAGACGTGGGACTCTGGTGATAGATCCTCTGGTTAAACTGTATGATGTTAGAACCATGCGACCCCTGGTTCCAATGTCATTTCCCTCTGGGCCCTGTTTCCTCAAGATGCATCCTAAACTTTCCACCACCGTCTTCATCATGTCACGGTCTGGGCAGTTTCACGTGTGCGATGTTGGAAACGCTTCCGGCACTCATTTTTATCAGGTATTTATTCGCCAGCCTTTTCGCAAATCCTTCTACTTTGTGTTTTTTTTTTTCATTCAAAATATCTTGTAACATTTCAAGTTGACCTTCACCCAAAGGCAAATGCCAGCTACATAAATGCCATTGACCTTTCGACATCTGGAGAGATGCTTGCGTTTGGTGATGCCGTTAGCATGATCCACCTGTGGAGCGATCGTAAAAGTTCGAAGATTAATGCATACTCCAATCCGGTGGAGCTACCGGCTGTTCCCGATTCCACTTCCAAAGTGGTTGTTGGAGAAAACGAGTAATATGGATTCTTGAATTCTCGATTTGATGTTGATTGAATGAGTGGTTCTTTTTTTCTATTATTGATTTGCCCACTTTTGGATTTTCAGTTCCTTGTCATTGGTCGGCATGCCTTATTACCGAGAACCACTTCTTTCGGTATGGCCGTCAAGCATGGTGTTTGAAGTGGGAAACCCATCACCAAAAATAGATCCCGAAATATTAAGCAGCATGAAGATGATAGATTTCGTGGGATATGCACCAAATCCGGGCTATCAAAGAAGGAACCAGGTTTTTCGATGGTCAAGAAAAGAGCGCAAGTCCGGAGCTCCTAAATTTGTTTCTGAAAAAGAACGAGAATTACAATCAGGAAAGGGATCAAAGGTAAATTTTCCTGTTGTGCTTTGAGAAATCGGAGTTGATTATTCAGTTTTTTTTTTTTCTTTGATTTATAGCAAGAACCTTTGTCTTTATCTGAAGGTGAGGCCGAGCTGGATGCGACGAGCACAAGAATGCCCAAATATTATCGAAGGGTTGAGATTAAGTACAGTCGATTTGGCGTGGATGACTTTGATTTCGAGTGCGTTAATCAATCAATTTTCGGGAAATCATTTACTTCAATAGTTCATTATTGGATTCATTGAATTTTTTCGCGATTTTTATTACCAAAAGATTTTATAACAAGACACATTACGCTGGACTTGAAACACATATTACAAATTCATATTGTAATTCTTTGTTACAAGTTCTATTCTTCATCCCTGTCCTCAGATTAATAACAAAATCTCATATTGGTTCTACGTGCTCTAAGGAGAATTGCCTTTGTTGCGAACTTGGATTTTTGTTTCGCATGTTGGAGGATGCCCGGGGGAGAAATTGTCAAGCCTCAAATTTCCTGCGAGCTTTCAGCACGATACCTCAAGGTAAGGTATTTTGTACATCGTAGACCGTTTTATGGTTCATTGGAATTCTTACCTTTCCTGATACGATTACCGTCTTAATGAGTAGCGTCTGCTCTCGGACTCTTTGAACCCGAAGAGCCGGATGAGAAAACGACGTATTCGCTGCTCATTCAAAACTTTAATCGATTTATCCTCGAACAGCTGCATCAAGAATGTAATTCGGAAAACAACCCTCGGCTACTAAAATCTCTGCCTTTAGAAAAAACGTCGCTATCGATGATTCAACAGTTGCTTGGGATGCAGATGGTTTCAACTAGTTTGTGTAAATGTGAAACAAGAACTGAGCGCCACACAATTCCGTTTGTTGTTGATTTAAATTATTCTTCGAATGTACATATCTTGTCCATGATTACAATCATGTTTCAAAAAAATAAGGAAACTTATAAATGTATTTTCAACATGACACGACAGAATTCTAAAGGAAAAGGTTCTTCGACAAAATCGTTTGTTGATGTTTTACGTTCGAGCATACAACGCGAGACTCAACCCAAAGCGTGGTGTAATAAGTGTCAGCAGTATGTTCCCACGATAGCCAAAAAGATTCCAAAGGGATTGCCACCTATTCTGTCAGTCAATTGTGGTCTTGGAACGACAACGTTGTCCGAGTTTTGGAGATCTCCTGATGGGAACAATCCTTGGTTGCCAAAGAGGTAACCATTCTCCTGTGCCTAAGAATTGAAGGATCACGTGTTTCGCAACGTTTAATAAAATTGCTTACCTTGTGCAGAATTTCGATGAGTATTGACCAGGATGATCTGAATATAGCGGAAATAGAGACAAGCACGGCGATCGACATAAGTTACACCGGAAACCCTAATCATGCGAACTACGAATTGATGGTAAGTATGTGCAATGAGATATTGTCTTGTTACTCTTCAGATTCGAATATTTTTATCGGTTATTAGGCGATCGTTATTCAAGTTAAAGTCGAGAAAGAGATTCCTCATCTTGTTGCTTTCGTTAAAGGTATATATTCATTCATTCATTTTTATGTTGCACGTGTATATAGTTGTGATTTATGTGATTTTAGTTTCGAAAGAATTAGAAACGGAATCGTCCGGCAAGGGACCCTGGTATTTGTTCAATGATTTTTTGGTAAAAAACGTTAGTGAACAAGAAGTTTTCAATTTCCAAGGTTCATGGAAAGTATGTGAGATTTTTATTATTTTGCTATCCCTTTTCGATCTTTTCAACAGACCTCATTCGCATTCTGATGAAAAATAGACACCGGTTCTTTTATATTACTCAAGAGTTGATATTTCAGACTTGATGGATACCAGTGTGTTACCTTCTGAAATTGACAAATCCATCTTGTTCAAAGACATTTCAATATCAAAGTGAGTTCTCTCTACCATACTGATGAATGAAGAAGTGCCCATTAATTTGTCATCGTTTATTAGGCATCGTGACACGAACATAAAGTCAGCTCATCTATTGACACCCGAAGAGTTACCTCAACCTGGAACTTTGGTTGCAATAGACGCAGAATTTGTTGCTTTAAACCAGGTATAAAAAAAAATTTTTTGAATTACACGTGATATTATTCAAAACTAACATTTTATATTCATGAATAAATTAGGAAGAGACCGAGATTAGGAGCGATGGCACGAAGTCAGTTATTCGTCCCCGTCGTCTTAGTTTAGCACGGGTTAGCGTGTTACGCGGGGAGGGCGCAAGAGAAAACCACCCGTTCATTGATGATTACATTGCCGCTTCCGAACCCGTGGTTGATTATTTGACCGAATTTTCGGGTATTCAAGGTATTTTTTTTTTTTCCGCCCCGTGTCATGGTTACAGATAATTCGTGATAGTGGTGGATCAATAGTCTAACATCCAATAATGAAACAATCTTTAAAGCTGGCGACCTGGATCAACAGTCTTCAAAGCATACATTGGTGCCATTAAAGGTTTGTATCTTTATTTGTTTATTTATCATAATATTATATTACTTTATTCTTTCAAATATTTCTGTCTTCTTTTGAAAATATAAATTATAATTATTCGTCTCATCAAATAGGTGGCGTACAAAAAATTAAGGTTACTCCTCGACCTCGGCTGCATCTTTGTTGGACACGGACTAAAAAAAGATTTTCGTATAATAAGTAATGTCGCATCTACCACGTTTATCGTTTAGCGACCTAATTTTCAAGATTCTTGATAAAATCATCAAATTTCTTAGATATTTTGGTCCCTTCTAACCAAGTGATCGACACAGTAGATATTTTCCATATTAAAAATAGAGCTCGGTATGACAACATAATGTTTATATTATCCAGTTCGTTAAAGTCGCCTAATCGTTCGATTTCATTTCCGCGCACAGGAAAATATCACTTAGATTTTTAGCTTGGTATCTACTGAGACAAGACATTCAGACGGACACGCACGACAGTATCGAGGATGCGAGAACCGTGAGTAAAAAACCAGCAATTTATCAGAAGTGCGACTTGACCATGAATCACCAAATCGTTCATTTAATAGGCGCTGGCGATATATAAAAAGTACTTGCAATTCAAATCGGAAGGTATATTTGAAGAAGTATTAGAAGATATCTAC